ATATCTGAGAAGAAGAAGTCACTTGTGTTGTCATTATACACTTTGACATCTTGCAAAAATGCATAATCTAAATCTAAATTTGGTCACAAGGAAACATCATAAAAACTCAAATTTAGGGACATGATACAAAATAAGCGATCTGTCTGTATGCTTAAAAACTATCAGTGTTGTGAAATATAAAGAATGGCCAAGGAGCTGTTTCAGAGTGAAGAAGACTAAAGAGACATGCAACCAAACGAAATTTAGGATTCTGTATTAGAACATGGATCAAAGAAAAGTTTGCTATTAAAAGGATTTATTGGAGAAATTGATGAAACTTAAATATGATTAATATATTAGAAAACAGTATTGCATCAGTGTTGTTTTGTGATTTGATAATTTACTGTGATAAGGGGCATGGTGTATGAAACTTATTCTCAAGTAGTAGTTCAGGAGAGAGAGAGGGAGAAAGAGAGGGAGGAAGTTAACAAATGTAATAAAACTGAGAATCTGGGTGACTGTGAAAGTTCTTTTATTCTTCTAATAATTATCTAAGTTTGATAATATTTCTACATAAAAATGGTTTTAAAAAGCGGAGAAGCATTTTCTTTTCAGATAGGATTTCTTTCTGCTGAAGAGAAGAAAATTGAATTATGCATTTGGGCTGTGTTTCTATAACTGATAACTTAGCTTTCAGTAGTGAATAAGAGTAATAGGCTTAGATAATTTCTTTACATAAAGTGTAAAATGCTAGTAATTTTTGAAGGTCCAGTTTGGTCATACAGCATAGCTCATACATGTGTAATATATGAAATAATAGTCCTAAGCATAAAAACATAATGTAAGATCTATCACACAGGGCTTAGGACTAGGTCAAACATCATTTTGTTTAACATGCTTACCTGGACATAAGGGTCTTATTTGAAAACCTAATTGGGGACATTTTTTTTAGCTTTCCCTCTTTAAAAGTGGTCACATGGAATGGTTGAAAATATTTATAGTCTCCAAAAGATAAAAAATTTAGCAATTAAATGCTTACAATAGAAGGAAATATTTGTGCCTACTAAATCATTAGACTATGCACAACTATAGAAAAATCAAACTCTAAGTAATATTTGGAAATAATGATATTTGCAGTTCTGTGTTCTCTCTCAATCTCTTCTCACTATACCTACGAGAAGCTGCAGACATCTCTGCCCTAATGTCTCTGCCCTTGTTCAAGTCTGGCCACTTGTTTTTTCTGTTATTACCTGGTGTCCCATTGATCCACGTCCCATGTTGATGCATTCCATCTTACAGTGGCCCATATAGATATGGTCACTTATTTGTGTCCAGGCTGATAGAAAATTATGGAGAATTCATATTCTATCTGTCACAACAAAGTGCAGCATATGAAATACAAACTCCCATGTACTCATTTTCATGGCTTTAGCTATTTGCTTTCTATCTCCTACTGTATAGATTCATGTTAATGCTGGAAATGTGACTTAGCTTCCCATTTGGTACTTGTTCAGTTATTCTACAACCTCCTAGAAATAAATATCTTTCTTTTACAATCGCAATGGAGAGGTTTTGAAGATTCACTTGGATTCCAGGGATGGGAAATAGAAGAAAGTTCAGGCTGAGCACTACTTAAAAAAAGTCTCCCTCACTACTCAGAAGTCATTTACTTTATTGTTACTTCCTGTGTTTTGCTATCAGCAACCCTCCATGACATCAGCAGCCCTTGCTTAAAAGCTGTTCACTGGATGCCTTGATAGACTTTTGCTGTTTAACTATTTCATGCCCACTTAAATATGTCACATATATGCCTTCTAGTCATTTCAGCAGGTTTTTCTATGACATAGGTCCTAGAAACAACAATTTTTAAAGGCATGCCTATTTTTTAAAACCAGCAGGTTTAAAATTGAACTGTAGGAAAAAAGTAGCAAATGCACAGAATCCGTGGGATGCCTCTGAAATTCTTTACTGTCAAATTCCTACCATAACACAGACACAGCTGGATAGTAGAATGGCAGTGGGAATTTTGGGGATGGGAAAGGGAAATATGGAGGTTTTCTGCCTGTGTATATACATCCTGATCCTACCCTCTTCCCGGGAAACTAAAGGATGTACAGCTCTCCAAACCTCCACCAGAGAGTGATTTCTGCCATATCTGAGTTAGCTTGGTACCAGATCAGTCAGAACACAGCCACTAGCAGGAACTGTCACAAATATGGGGGCAGCAACACAGTAAGAGAGATTCTTCCTTCAGCAGCAGCAGCAGCAGCAGCAGCAGCAGCAGTTCCTTGGGGTCTCTATAAACATAGCCTCCTATCAGGTTGGCTTACAGATTGCCATAGTGTTTACAGATTGTCCTGAAAATGAGATGTCATGTGAGGGGATCCCGGGGTGCAGTTCTTGAAATGAATTCAGTATGAAAAATTAAAGTGATGTGGGATCTTAGTACAAGTCAAAAACCTATGCAGAATTGTAGATGAAAGGAAGTTAGTACTGTAAATTATGTTATCATGGATGGGGAACATTTATATCAATCATTAGGGCTGGAGGATGAATTTATGTAGAGGTAATTGATGAGTCACATTAAAAAAAAAGCTAATGTAGATAATAGGTGAGTAGAGAGAAAAAAAAACCCAAAAACCCTGATGTTTGGGCCTGAAGCTGTTCTCTGGGTCACAGTAGCTAACAGTCAGGAAATTATTTTTAACTGCATGTGTAAGAAAATGCTGAGTACCTTTTCCTCTGGACATCCCTGGACATCCTAAGTCATTACAGGTGCTAACGCTCTGTAAGGGTTTTAAAGCACTACTTACAGATTCCAGAAGAGAAGGCCTGTGTGGTCTGTTTTACTGCAACCACAATAAAAATTAGTGGCCCCTGTTTATTCATTACTAATCTGGTGGCAGAAATGTATCTTAATTCTCTGTGTGCTTTAAGTGCTGCTGCTATTATTTGTTGGAAAGTTTTCCCTTTTTTTCCTATTAAGTCTTTATTCTAGGAGTTGTGTTTATTTGGCACTAAGTTAAAAGAAGAGGATGTTGTTAAAAGAAGGGACCACTTTACTGTTTCTATTAACACAGCATCGCAGTACCTACTGCTACTAAAATCCAATTGATTCAGTCTCTGAAGTCTGTCATCAAAGGGTAATTTGTAAACTATTAGAACTCACAGATATAATTTTTTAATCTAAAAATATGTGCCATGGTAAATGGTTGAATTTTGTATACCATATTTCCTTTCTCTAGGTTTTGGTAATATGATATTAACCATATCATATTTTAATTTTATTACTTTTCTATGGTATTCATAGGTTACTTTAGAGTTTGTATCCTAGAGGTAGAGAAGCATTAAAAAATAGCAAAACTATTGATGAAGAGTTCTGTCTGTGCTGACATGTACAGATAAGAGCTTTACAGAATTGGAGCAGATGATGGGCAATGTCTGAAGTATCAGAAGATTAAAATACAGGGCACAAAACAAAAATTTAAAGAAATCCAAAGATTAAATAGTATATTCTCTTCCTAAAGAATGATAATTTAATTGCTGAGATTTCCCCTTTTCCCCAAAGAACTTAAGTGACTAATACGGTTAAGTTCATTTGAAGTACTTTAAACTTCATATTATATAGGCATAATTGAGTGAACATTCCCTGTTACGGACTGAATGTTTGTGTCCTTGAAAATTTCTATTTGAAACTTTATACTCCTTATAATATTAGGAGGTGGGCTCTTTGGGAGGCAGTCAGGATTAGATGAATTTGTGTGGTTGGAACCCTTATGAATGAGATTAATGCCTTTATAAACGTCACGAGAGAGAGCTTGCTTCCCTTCTCTGCTCTTGGCCATGCGGAGATACAAGGACAAGTCAGCAGTGTGTAACTCGGAAGAGAACGTCATCAGAACTCAGCCAGCCTTCAGACCTGTGAGAAAAGCATTTCTGTTGTTAATAAGCCACAGGATATTTTTTTCATAGCAGACTGAGCTAAGATATTTCCTGAGATAACCCCCTTTCCTTTTAAACCTGGAGTCCATCTTCTGGTTTGGGCAAATTTACATCTAGGACATTGTTTCTCACCAGGCCCTTCTTAACTGCTTATTTAAGGGGCTCAGAAAGACTTCCTCTGGTATTGGCCTTTTTCATCTCAATTTGAGTTTTGGGTATCCTAGGAACACTGCAATTTAAAGATGGTGCGATTTTTGAGGGTAACCAAGTTAGGGGAACACTGCAGTTTGTTGACCGCTCCCTTTGTCGCAGGCACTCTGGAGGGAGGGAGCTATGGCCGCTCAGGGTGCCCTGGGAATCTCTGGATAGAGAGCCATTTCATGACTAAGCAGGTAAAAAGACTATTTTTTGACTTAAGTTTGGGTGCATCCTACATTGATTTGGCTGCCGTCCCTTCTTTTCTCTTCTCTTCTCTTCTCTTTTCTTTTCAAAGGGTTTTAATGGTAGTACAAAATACTAAAACTTGTTTTTCTGAAGAAAGACATTTTCTTTCATTTAGCTATATTTTGTACATTATAGTTTTGCTCTTGGTGCATCTGAAATGGGCTCCACAAATTGGGGTCCTCTGAAGCTTGACATAGGAGCTGCTGAACTCATGGCCATTCCAGAGACTTTCATGGCCCTGTATTTGCACCTTCCTATCTCTTCTAATGTTCAAACATTCAAGGGATGTTCAAATGTTCTTGAACATACGACTTTACTTATTTATTTTTGCACACCAAAGAAGCCTTGTGTAGGAATACAATTTATTATAACAAGAAAAGAATGTCTATTACAGGTCAAAGTTTATGCACGAAAAGGAGAACATGATAAAAGACTGCTGCATCCATGAGATAATCAGAGAGCAATAAGAAATAATGAAAACTAGATAATGTGATGGTCTATTATGTAGTTTTACTTCCATAATACGAGAATTTTGGAGAGAGTGTAGACTAAGCCTGTGATTATGATGTCAGTATTTCCTTATCAAGAAAATGGGATGAGAACCTTGCTGGCTGTGACAACCTTCCCATAACAACATGTGTCTCATAAAAGATCTCTTTTATCCCCTTCCAGAAGAAAAGAGGAAATACAAGAAGTGCCTGGTACAGAGCCCCAATTCCTCCTTCATGGATGTGAAATGCCCAGGATGCTATAAAATCCTCAGTTCCAGTAGCCATAGACAAAGGCCAGTTTTGCATGTTAGCTCCTCCACTGTCTTCTCCCAGCCTGCAAGAGGAAAATGAAGGCTCACAAGAGGATGCTCTTTGAGAAGGTAACAGCGCTAAAAGCCCCCCGAATGAAGATGCATGGGAGACCATTGCAAAAACACATTTAGGGTAAAAAAGAGAATGGAACCATAGCATTTACATTTTAGTGACACTCCATTTGTTTAAATGGATATCTGAAAGGGTAATAATATGTGATTACTAAGTATATAATTAAACTCTTAAGAAAAACAAAACAAATCACTGTGTTAAATTTCTAAGCTATGAACATAATGAAAGAGCATATTAGAGATTATTTTTATCAGTATGAAAACAAGCCTAGATCAGTGATGAAAATACTAGCGCACCAGTGCTGGCTCTGTGATCTTGTACAGTTCTTCTTACCTCCTCTGGTCTTAGTTTCTTCATCTGTGAAATGAGAGAGCTAGGGTAGACTAGTTGGACTTGATGGGCCCTTTTAGCTCTGTGACTCCATGCCTTACAAAGGCATTTTAAGAACTAATCCTATGACTTTCTTTATTTTATTCTTTAAATTCTTCTGTTGGGTGTACCCAGATGACAGCTAGGGGCTTTGTTCAGTGAACTTATTAACGAAAATATTACTGAGTTTGTTCAGAAGATTTACAGATATGCTAATTGGCAGCTGCTCCATTCTTCTCAGGGGGTGATTCCAAATGAAATATTTGGAATTGGGTTTCAAATACTTCTTTCGTATTCCTGCCTGGGGGATTTATATGAAAGAATGAAAAAAATTACCCTACGTCAGAAGATTCTCTGGTCTGATCCACGTCTTCTAGGACTTTATGAATAGGGGGCGGAAGGTATGGCAGTTTTTCATTTTCTATGAGCATGTCAGAGCTTGGAACAATAATGGAGTCCGGGATTGCTCTTCATAAAAGTGTATGAAATTATCAGCAAAATGGAAGGGAAATACAGCAGGTGAGATCAGAGATATAAAAAATAATTGTCCTATTACAAAGTAGTTTTCTTTCGCTAGACAGCATACAAGGCCAATCCACCCTAATATCCATGCTAGGTATCAGGTAATTCATTTCTTTACAAATAACTTCATACTATATTATTATAGTGGTAATTTTTCCTCTACCTGGAGCTTTTCCAAGTGATTTAATGCCCAAAACAGAGTAGCGTATGTCAGTGATGTAGGTGACTGTGCACACAGTTTAGAACTCCAAGCTATGCATGAAGCACTCCATGAAACACAACATCCAAAAGGCTAATAAAAATTATGAACTTGGAAAGTCTTCACTAAGTTTGCAAGAGAAATGGGGATAAAGCCATTCAAGTATCCCAGGACAAGCCAGGCACAATGCCTGTGAGGAACTGGCATTCATGTAACCATAAGAATGTAAGTTGAATAATAATTTTGGAGACTTTAAAGCCACAGAAGATGCCTAGGGTCAGTATTAAATGCAGGAAAAAAAGATACTGTGCTTAAAATTCTGTTAGAGAAACTCGAAGACTTTGTTGGATTTCCAAGGCTTTCTTTACATAGAAAAAGCATTCTGTTGAGCACATGCATGATACATTATACATGTAGACATTCTAAGGGTTTATGAGTGGTGGTAGAGGGAGTAATTATGGACTGCTGCTCAGAAAAAAGGCAAGAGGGAAGACAGAATTGCATTTTAATGCCACAGATATTTCAAAGACAAGCTGAAACATTTTTAGAAAGGAAAGAAACTGAGCGGGAAGATGCAGAGCTGTCTCCAAAGAGATTTGCTCAGAGCAGAGAGCCCTCCAGATCATTCTCTGGAGAGTGGTCTTAGAGTTAGAAAGAATGATTGAAGATCTGGAGCTGCAATTTCATTCCCTGCTCAGTATCTGTCTGGAAATGACACTTTTTCCCTCCTATGTTTGCCTTCTCTCTTCTTAAGGAAAGGTTTATTTATTACTCCAAAAAGTTTTGTTAATTTATAAAGTTAAAAAATTTAATTCTTTAATTCTAGATTTGTATTCAAAAGTCATTAACTCAGAGCTATTTTAGTCAATTTCTGTGTAATTCACTTTAATTCAGAAACATGGTCTACAGTTCTAAATGTCTGTGTCAATATTGGAACGTTTAAGAAATATTCTTGTTACTAAGCTACCTAGATGCTACATAGAACACTTCTGGCATCCTTGTAGAGAAAACACTTTTCCACACATAAAAAATGTGATATAAATTAGAAGTTTTGTAATAATTTGCCCTGACTTGAAAAAGAAAAAAAAGGTGAGCATCCTTGTAATGAAGAAGAACAGCTCAGGAGTCAATCAGGGCTTTCTGGCTTGAATACTTACTAATTGCTTGGTATTGGGGAAAGTTCCTTAAAACCCAGGCTTTAGCTTTCTCACCTGCAAAATGGGTTTGTAATATTTACTTTATAGTAATATTCTGAACAGCTAAGTGGTAGGCAGTGTTGACCATTTACCACAATGTCTGGCAAATTACAGAATTCAAGTCCATACTAATTTAGCAAATTCCCACTACACCAATCCCTCCTTCCCACCTCCCAATGGAAACTTCACTCATTAAAGGAAGTGTGTACTAAGAGTTATGATGCTCAGCAATGGTTGAATCAATTTGTGTATTAGCACTGCCACTATATTGGGCTCTGAATTATGGCATTCCCATACTGGTGGGCAGAGTTCCTAACATCTCTCACCTGTTTGTTTCTTATTAGTACCTGTTTCTTCTAGTTTTCTTCCTCAGGACCACCCATCTCTGTTGCGAGGAGGATAAACTAATTCAATTCCTGTTGATTATAGCTTATAAATAACCATGGACTACTCCTTCCAACTGACCTTCTGTTAGTGGCTGAGAGGGATAACATAAAACCCATTACCTGCTAACCATGTCCTTTTTTTGTACATTTTCTCTATTTAAACTTCATTATTACTGTTCCACTCTGTTGTCTAACTCATTTACATTTTGATATTAATAACTATAAATATATAAAACTATATGCAAGTTATAATATCTATAGAATTATAGACTGGGGCTTGATCCTGCTGGGACTTTTCAGAAGCCTTATGAAATGTTACATCTTTCATTTTGCACCAGGCTTAGGGAAGTTAAATGTATCTCCTTAGGTCGCAGGACTAATAGAGGCAGGGGACGGATTTTAATTCAGGTCAGTTAATTTCCAAGGCCTTCCACTTAACTACCAGGTTATAATCCTCCTCTATAATTGCGTAGTTTCCTTAGGATAATCTCATGTCTGCAAAACCTACCAATGTACAAGATAGTTAGAAGGTAGGTAAGAGCAAAATTGTCTCACATTCTTAGTTATCAGCCATAGATTTGTTCTCCAATGGAGTCTTTTGTATAGTGCTGTGTTATTACATCTATTCAATCCTATCCACCATTGGACTGTTACTAGAATTTAAGATAACAAGTAGATTTTCCTGCCACAGGTAGTTCCCATATTAGTAACATCAAATGTAACAGTTCAGGTCTATTGAAGGAAAGTGTTACTTGTCACATGCATTGTCATTGTTTTTCATGAAAACAATGAGGGAATCGAATGCCTAGGGAGATATTTGTCATTATAATGACTTAATAGTATATGAGATATACACCTTGGACAATTTTTCTGTAGTGAGAATGAATTCAACCATCAAAATAATATTTTGCTTAGTCACAACATTGCTCATATTTTTGAGATTGTCTGAGTGCGTCCGTGGCTTCACTGTTTATGTTGTAGGCAAGCTTAATCATACATGAATGGTGTTTTTTTGATAGTCCTGGGGAAGTTGTTTATCTTTCTCTACAACTGTTCAGGACCTGCCTAACCAAAATTACAAAGGTGCAATGCTTGTTTTTAACATCTTAAGCTTATGTTTGGTACTTGTTTTCCCTCTCTCCACACTCTCAAATACCAAGTACCCCTATTCAATTGGAAAGGTTTTGTTATTCCTCATATATATGGTTCAGTATGGACTTAAATCAGTGTACTGGTGTTTATTGCCCTTTGCCCCTCTTTGTCTCACTTCTTCTGCTCCAACAACCCTGAATTATGTGCAGTAGAGTAAACCACGCTGGCTCTGCTTTTTGTTCTACTTAGGACACACGGCCCCTATTTGTAAGGGCTTCCTTTCTTTCCTTTGCTTGGCTATAGTCTCTTCTTTTGAGTCTCAGCTCAGGGATAACCACTTTTGGAAGTCACACTTGACACCCCTGTACTTTGCAGGTTAGGAGACTATTTTTTGGTCCTATGATGTTCTGTATAGATCTCTGTTATTATGCTTGTCACATTGTTTGATAATTGTTATTTCTATTACACAGTGATCTTCTTGAGGGCAACAACTGTGTTTTATTTACATTTGTCAACTCAGCAGCTAGTAAATAGTAGACACTTCACATATGTTTGTTAAATTGAATTTGAAGTAAATTTAATATTTGGGGGCAGGAGTTTTTCTTCAGCTCCTAAAATAATATAATCAAAAGACTATAACATCTTGCACTCAGGGTTTATAACTTGGTGAAAAGTTAAGCTTGATCTACATAGTTTCATTTGATTAAAATAATTTTACATAATAGTTTGTCAAGCGGGGAATGAAGTTGGAGTAGCAAATGTGTTTCTGAATTTTAACTGACACAAGAAACCAATTTTCAAACCAAATCTTTTGGTTTTAGTGATGTTGTGTGCCAGTTCTGAATCATTCATTGCATAGCTAACTGGAAGCTTTAGAATATTTTTAAAATGTGTATGCTGTGTAGACGGTGGCATGGCTAGCAAGTCATAACCTTGAAATTCTGTACTCACTGCTTCTGTTTCTGGTCCTTGCAATATCTTCACATATGGGACAATTACCATATATATGTAATCGTTTATACTTGAATGTTTGAATCCAGTGCTTAGGCAACCTACATAATTCTAAATTTTAAAGACTGCATAAATACATGCTCATGGATATTAAGGGAATTTTCAATTCCCATTTCATACATAATCATGTCATGTATTCTAAAGGCACAGTGTTGGGGGAAAATCACAAATCAAAGTCATTTATATCGAGTA